TGTCACGTCCAGTACGCGCATGACGTGTAATTTTGTATTCGTACGTTAATAGCGCCGACGTCACAGTTTCCAAATTCACGGCCGCCCCGCCCGCTCATTGTGTTGATAGCTTCTGCTGGGAGTAGCGCTTACAGCTGCGCTACTCCATAGTCCGATTAGTATAAGTGTTATACATGTTTTGTCTGTTTATTGCAATTTGTGAATCTTATGTTTACCTTTGATATTGTATCTTAGTGAGTCATGCTATGTATGTATATTTATCACCAGTGTAACGTAATTTGTCTATCTCTCAGGGCTAGGGTAAAGCGACCAAATTCCACCTTAAGTTTTCAATTCAGACTAGGGCTGCCATTCACGTAAGTCACAAGCGAGTCATAGTGATACATCTGGCAACATTACGATTTAATTGTCGATTACCTTGAATCTTTGATTATTTGAAATACTTCCATTTTTGTATATTTGACTTTCTATTTATTTGCGGCGTTTTCTGTCCCGCAGTTTAACAAAACCTAAAATAAAGAAGATTTGAATGAAAATTTCGCAAGACTTTATTTCTAATTGTTCCTGCCTGGCTATTATTAAGTGGCCCTTGGAATTCAACATGATATCAAGCGCTTACCCAGTACAGCAGTGGTTCCCAAACTTTTTTCAGGCTGGCGCCCCCTTTGGCTCCCGAGTGAACTTCTAGCGCCCCCAACAGACATACGCCTCTTTCTTGAAATTTAGTACGCTGCAATTTTAATTAAAAGATAAAGGTTAAACACAAATGTGTATTTCACAAATAGAACCCTATTTAGTGAACCAATATATTTTTCAGCTGTTTTAACTGTTTCAGCACTAGAAACCTAGGACGTCGCGGGCAAATTTACGGCCGGACTCGTGGCCGGTCTCACGACCAATCTCCAAGTTCAATTATCAAGTAATATCTCCCAAACTAATGAACGCAGCTCTATGAAACTTTGAACACGTATCCATCAAAACCTAACGGGCATGTTCAGCTTGTATTTTTTTTAATTTCACCTTCACTCGTGAGTTACGCGTATATTGCGAAACAGGCCGAAATTCGCAGTGATCAAAGA